AATAAAAACTACAATCACTAATTAAAACTAAAAAATGTGATTAAAATATCAAACTCTAATAATATCTAATTTCAATGATCTACATGAGTTGTCCAAGTCAAAAATGCAAAATTAAAAAGAGCTAGTATTGAAAATTTGGTACGAGGAAATATGGGTGATTTTTGCTCAAATAAGTTCATACCTTTTTTTTTCTTGAATATATGGAAAAAGTTTCATGAAGGAAGCTGCCATCGACTGTACTTAATAGTACTTAAACACAATTTGGTACTATTAGACAGTGGATATTGTATTAAAAAATTATTAAATTAATGAATGAAAAATACAATAAGAAGTGAGAAAACTACGGCATATTCTTCAACAACCCTATAATTTAGGGGCATGTAAGATTATTTACAAGTGAAAAGCTGCGGATTTGATCAAACAATTAGCGTCCGCTCCTCTAAATTAAAAAAAAAAACATATGACATATTCTGGACATAATTTAAATTTTTAAGCAGTGGTATTGGAAGCAAAAATAGCGAGCTATACAAAAAAAATTGAATAATCAATTAAAATTGAAATTCCAAATTTTATTGTGACATGTTAACAAATAAATAACTTATGATAATTCATTTTTTCAATAAATTATTAGTAAAAGTAAACACATATTATAACTGTATTTGTTTTTATTTTTTTAAGAAGTATAGGTGCAATGTGGACAATTTAAAACAAGCTTTATAAGGTAGAGTGAGGGATCAAATTTTATTGAAATTCAAATATAAAACTTATCATGAACTATCATTGCCAATTTTGCATGACCTATTCATTAGTGACACTAATACAAATTCCCTTTCCACAACTAAACACCACTTTGTTCTCAAACTAATAATAATAATAATAATAATGGCACAGCTTCACGAACACTTTGAATTGTGTATCTCATGACTCATGGCAAATTCCAACTCGCTGGTATGGCCAGTGGTTCACTTTCTTGCATATAGCCTATGATGTAATTATTTAATGGTTGAGTAGTATAACTCTTCGGTGATAATTGCATCTACTTTTTAATCATTCTAAACAAACTTAGAAGCTAACAAATTGATATATACATATATATACACGTCTCACACGTACTTCTATCTTTCTTCTCTTCTCCATTTTCTGCTTTATTACTCATCATTTCTTTGGCCAAAGAAAACAATGTAATAACAATAAGAATTAATGATTATGATGCATAATATTTGGAAATAATATATCATCTTTTTTTTGGTGTTTTTAAGTCATTTGATGAAAAGAAATGGTGTGCAAGGAATTTACTATCTTCACAAATTGATTCATGGATTTATTAAATTTTAATTGTTAAAAATAAAATTTGACAAATAATTAATCTATGAACCAATTAAATTGTCTTTTCACAAATTAATTCCTACACTACAAGTTTTGAAGTAAATGCGGGTGAACCACAAATTGTTAAGTATCCAGCGGGGAATTACGGCATTAAATGAAGGTTCAAATCAAGGACAGTGATAACATTTCAAGCCTCATTAAAGATTGTTCGGACTATACATTTATATAACATCACCTCCAGTCATTTGTACAAGAAAAAAATTGTTCTATTTTTAAATCATGTTCACATCATTAATTTTTTAGTAAATTTTTTTTATTTTATTTTTCATTAAATATTAGTGAGAAAAAATAATTTATTAAAAAATGTATATTTAATAGAGATAAAATTTAAAATTTTATTAAATTTTTATACAAAATTAATGAATTTTAAACTTTTATTAATTTCAATGAAACATGTTAAAAGTAATTTATAAATAAAATTTAAAAATAAATTTTTTTAACCACGCTAGTGTGTGTTTAATTTTGCATTGAAAATTAATTTTCACCAAAATCTTGATTTTTATAATTTTCAACGTGAAATCAAACAAATCTCTTTTTGTTAAGTAGAATACAGTGTCATCTTTTTCATTAGTTTTGTAAAATCAAAAAGCGTTGAAATTTTAAAATAATTCCATTTATTAATAATTTAGTGGTGAGAACTGAGATCATGAATTTATTAAAAACATTAAACAACTTTTTACGCATGAAAATAAAATAACTTTAACCATGATATATTCACAGGCTCCGAAACAAGACGCCACAAATCTTTCCAACAAATAGTTTTTATTTAATTTCTTGGGTAGCAATAACTTTCCAGCGAATAGATATGAATTCAATTTTGAAAGAGAAAATAAGGTCTTGCTTTGGCTTTAAGGATGTCAAGATAGGTAGGTGCACATTAAACTCCAACTATAAAATATTTTGGCCCTTGGGTCCTCTTCTATGTATTTAAAAACAAAACAAAACTCGAATTTAATATAAAATTACCTTTAATAATTAAAATTCAAAAATTTTAGAAAAGGCTATTCAATTTACAAAAATGTAAATTTTGAATGACTTTGACGTTGATATTTTTTTTTGAATAAAATGTAAACATTTGTTTACGATTATGATAACTTTTAGTGCGTATGGATCACTATAATAGTTAAAAAAATTTAGCATACAGTTTGTTAAGTTCGAGTGTCTTAAATGTAATTTTCTTATATTTTCTCTTTCAATTCATTTCAGACCTCAGCTTCCCAGCTTAGTTTTTCGATCTTCAAGTTTAAACCACCCCTATTAGGAGTGTTCATAGGTTCGGTTTGGTTTGGTTTTGAACAAAAATCACACCGAACCGAACCATTCGGTTTACTGATAATTGGGACCTGATCGGTTTTTGCAAAGTTCGGTTTGGTTCGGTTTTATTTTCGGTTTGGTTCGGTTTGGTTAAGGTCTTGATCAAGTTTTAATACACTTGTTTAATTTTTTTTTCCTTTTCTCCATCTTCATAATGGTGCTATGTACTAAATTAAATTTAATTCTTTTTGACTCCTTTTTTTTCATAAATAGAGGTATAAAATATAATAAAATTTCAATGTGATAACAATAATTAATCATAAAAATTCATATAAGTTTTTAATATTAAAATTATTTAATATTATATATTTTCATTCAGATCCTTTGAAAATGTTTATCTATATATCTATATGTTAATAAATAATGAAAAAACTTATTATACAAAATTTAAAATAAAATGTTTCTTGTAGATAAATTGAATGCTGAGGCTTTTAGGTTGTAAATCATTAAATGATGATCATAGCATGATTATTATAATTACTTAATATTATGCATTTTCATTCAAGTATTTTAAAAATGTTTATTTATTATTATAAAAAATTCAAAACAAAATGCTTTTTGTAGATAAATGGTTATATATTTTATAAATAAATAAATAGAATTTTTTTAATCAAGTTTGGTTCGGTTTGGTTCGGTTTCTAGTATTCAAAACCGAACTTGAACCGAACCAATCAGTTTTTATGTCATAAAACTGAAGCAGACCTAATTGTTGTTCGGTTTTGATCAGTTTTTATCGGTTTGGATTGGTTTGGATCGGTCCTTTCGGTTTGGATCGGTTTTGAACACCCTTAACCCCCATTGGGTTTTTCTTCACTTCATATTCCGCCAAAGTACTTTCACTGCAAATATAAACCATTCATATTAAATTTTAATGATCCAGATTAATTTTAGTTTTAAAATTGGGTTAAAAGACAAATACTTTAAAATTTTGGGGAGAATTATATTAAAATTTTATATAAAAAAATAATTACTATAATATTCATTGACAATTATTGTCAATACAGTGCAATTCAATTATCAATCAAAATTATAATAATTAATTTTTTTTTATATAGAAATTGATTGTAATTCTCCAAAAAAAAAATTTAACATGGAGCTCCTGGCATTCTTTTTTCAGAACCACTTAAAAAAAAAAAACAATTTTGTCCCACAGTTAAATCTAATAATTTGACCAAGACTGTACACGTGCCGTGAGCTGACTGATCTCCATAAGCCTTCCTATTTCCTAGCTTCCTTCCATCTTCTTCTTCTTCTTCTTCTTCTGTGATGCCTTCAACGATTGTTTTCTCAGGGAGGTGGCGGCTCTGGTGGTGCCGGAACCAACAACCCTTCTCTTCCGGTCATGACTTCCAGGTATCCCGAAAAGTCACTTCACTCAATCAACAGAGGAAAGCATCCCTCTGCCTTGCCCTTGGGACTACAACCTCTGACTTTCATTACAAATTCCTCTCTATATCTATCATTAACTCAGGCAAAGAAAGGAGAAGCTAGCTTTCATTGAAGAAGTAGGATCGGAATTCACTTGTCTTTTTAAGTAGTAGAGTTTGGTAGAGAACTAGGAAGAAGGAAGGCTCATCGTTCCGCAGAGCTTGCTTTAGGACTGTGATTGTCTACCTCCTGCATTCTCCTCACCTTCCTCAATACATTCTTCACCTTTCGTACACAGCCCCTCACCATCTCCACCATTCTCGTGAAAATCGCCGTCCTACCCATTGGAAAGTTCATGGTCTCTGTTCTTCCGACTAAGGAGTACAGCTTGATGGGCTGGAGATTCAGTTTGAATCCAGGGCCTTCAACACCAAAGAGCATGTGATTATCATTATCTTTACTAACCGCGGTGTTTCCTTCGAAGTAGACAATGGTTACTCCATCAGCGCCATTACTGTCATAAAAGCTTATTATAAACAGGCCATCAGCCTCCTCTGTGCTCTTCTCATCGTCTTGACCACCTAGGTTAGATCTCTCTGCTTTCAAAGTAATTGCATTTTTCGAAGTGATTGGTTCTTTCTCTTCAAATCTGCATGAAGATTCTCGATGCTTGTGCTTTCTTCTGTTTCAGTCATGGGTGCTTGGATTCCTGGAAGCTTGATTCTTCCATATACATTACTCGCGATATAAATTTGTGAAGGACGCTCTGAATAGAGTACAGGTTCTTGCAAAAAGTTGCTGGCATTCCGACCAAGCTCCGATTCCAAGAGCTAGAAGACACCACCAACGGATTCCAGTTGCTACTCGGCCAAGGAGCCTCAGCTTCAATCTTCAAAGCTATTTTAAAAGAAGAACGACGAGGAAGTCAGCTCATGTGGAGGAAGAAGAACGAGGTGAGAGGAAGTTCAAATAGGTAGTCTGCTCACAATAAGAAGAAGAAGAACGATATTGGTCTCCTTTGGCTCAAACTTCACAGTGGAGACACGTGTCCTCTCATGGATCAAATTTCTTTTTCAATGGTCAAACATTTTCCAAAGTTAACTGATGGGCAAATTATGCTATTTTTAAAAGTTTTGCGGTGATATTGTTTCAAAATATCAAGCGCCCCTCACGAAAAAAAAATTTCAAGACACTTTCTCCCTTTAATCCATTAACAATTATCAAATTTAATTTAATTGTCTAGATTTATAATATTTCTTCCATTGTAGCGAAGGAAAACCAAACTCCCTAATCCTTGTTCCAATACCTCTTGTTCCCAGTTCCTCAGTTTTAGAAACCTTCTCAATTCTATATTAACAGGAATGAACTAAGACATGCATTAAATGTAATATTTGCGAGTTGTTGTGACATGCCAGAGTGTGCGCATAGTACGGAGATAGCTCGCGCTTTAATTATTTGTACTTTGTTCTTGCCCCATCCATATTTTTAAATAATTATCCTTGCAATCCTTGCAATTTTGATTTTTGTGGCTTTTGAAGTTTAAGGAATTTTCAATTATTTTGACGGATGATATCTTTCAACTTTATTTAAATTATCAATAAAAATTATAAAATTAATTATGAGTTAATTTTTTTTAACGTTAAAAATTTTCTCTTTCATCATTATGATATTAGAAATACTTAACGATCGTTACTCATCAATAAATCCTATTATTTTTTAAATATTTTTTATTAGATTAAAGTTATTTTACTCTTCAACTTTTATTTGAAGGGACAGTGGGCACACTCAATTTAAATATTTTATAATAAAAAAATATTAAAAATATAGCGTAGGACCTACTCCCTCCATTTTTAAATATAGGAGAAAATAACTGTATCACACAATTTAAGAAAAGAGGTTAACAATAATAATTATGTCTGAAAATAAAAAATTTAGACTAAAATATCCTTATATTTAATCTCACTTTTTTTTAATTTATTAATACCATCCATTTAAAGAAAAGTCAACCACCTCTTCTGCCACAACAATAAATGCTTAAATAAAACTGAGTGCTAATCTCTATCTGTATTTTCGAAGATATATCGCTCCCTCTCTCATTGAAGACGTAACAATCCTTTCTCTATTTTCCCATAACATGCACTTTCACGTTCTATATCACTGTCATCAAACACTTTGATAGTAAAATTCAAACGAAAAATAAGATTTTTAAATTGGCGGCAATAAGAAAGTGGGTGTTTTTTTATTTTCAAAATTGGGAACAGCTATTTTTATGGTCTGCATGCATATACAGTTACACATTCAGCTAGTTTTTTTTTTTTGAATTTGCAGCTATTTGTGCCTCGTTGGTTTGAAGGAAATGCCACTTCACATAGATTTGAATCAACCTCCCTCTCCATTGATGGAGGTATATTTGCTTGAGACATCTCCGACTTCCTCTGTTTTTGTGAAAGATAACAGAGCATCTCCAACTACCTCTGTTTTTATGGAAGAAACAGAGCATCTCCTTTGCATCTGGATTTGAACGTCCCTCAGTTGGATGTAGATGAAGACCATGACAACCATGTATTTTTACAGTTAGAAGATGAGGACGATAACTTGGACACTGAGTTCTCCATGGATGAAATACATGCTATCACCAGTATTGGTATAATTTGTCTACTTGGTGCCTTAGCCTTCTATTTTGTTTTTGTTTGTGTATTTCTTTACTTGTTCATTTTATGCTATAGGAGACGCTGTGGTTGAACAAGAAGGAGAACCAACTACAAAACGAGCATGGTTAAATAATGAACAACGAACAGTCATTGGTCAAATGCTCCTTCATTCAAGTAGAGGAGGAAAACTTGAACCAGGCATTGTAAAATGGATGGCTTCATTATATTCTGTCTCTATACATGTCATTTATCGCATTTGGAATCGAGTGAAGGAAACAGGTGATGCATGTCATAAGAGAACACAAAACTGTGGAAGGAAGAGAGTCCAAGTAGACATTGCTACGGTTCGTGAAGTTCCATTATCAAAGCGACAAACCATTCGATCTCTAGCACATGCTTTGAATATTAGCACAACAGCTTTGATTAAGTTTATTAAGGAAGGAGAACTTCGGCGACATTCAAATACACTCAAGCCGTTATTGAAGGAGGGGAACATGATTTGTCGTCTTAGATTTTGCTTGTCTATGCTTGAAGAAAGTAGCATTTATGATGATCCCAGGTTTAAATCCATGTATAATGTTGTTCATATAGATGAAAAATGGTTTCAAGTGACTCAAGAATGCACAAACTTCTATCTACACAAAAATGAGGATCAGCTACACCGTACATGCAAAAACAAAAACTACATTGAGAAGGTTATGTTTCTAGCTGCAGTGGCACGACCAAGGTTTGATGAAGCAGGCAACCAAATATTTTCAGGAAAGATAGGTGTGTTTCCGTTAGTTACTAAAGTTCCAGCAAGAAGGACAAGCGTCAATAGAGTAACAGGGACACTGGAAATGAAACCAATTACTTCTGTCACCAAAGAAGTTAGTCGAAGGTTCTTAATTAATGAAGTTTTACCTACCATCAAGGAAAAATAGCCAAGAGAAGATGCAGGAAGAACCATTTTCATACAACAGGATAATGCCCCATGTCATGTTGCCGTAGATGATGAAGAATTCTGCAGAGCAGCTTTAGAAGGGGGGTTCGATATTCGCTTAACTTGTCAGCCTCCTAATTCTCCTAATTTGAACGTGTTGGATTTAGGTTATTTTAGAGCCATTCAATCTCTCCAACAAAAAGAAGCGACTAGATCAATTGATGAGTTGATTGAGGTTGTTGGGAGATCATTTGATGCTTTCCCAACAAAAAAATTGAATAAAATATTTCTCACACTCCAGGCATGTATGATTGAGGTCATGAAGTTGAAAGGATCAAATGACTATGGAATGCCTCACTTGGGAAAGGATGTGATGCTTAATCATGGCGGGCTACCCATAACACTACAATGTGATCGTGCCCTGGTTCATGAAGTGCAAGAGTACTTACAAAATCTAGCTACATGATGCTTGCACTGGAACGTTAGGAAAACCAGAGCATTGCGTGATGCTTAGTTATGCACTAGAACTTTTGTCTTTTGCAGGAACATCAGAACACTGTAACTTCAATTGTTTTTTATATCAGCGCTTTTTATTTTTATTTACTCATCTCATTTCATTATTTACCCTTAATTTTTATCCTTATTTTGGACTACTGTACCATTATAATATGAAGAGAGAGAGACACACACGAAGCAATCTTCCATTTTTAAAGCATCAAATGATAGTGACAAAATAAGAATGAACATGAGTCACTCTGATAAACATACATCTAAAAAACATGGAAGAAAAAAACAGAAACAAGATGGTAAACCTCTTTCTTCCATGCTTCTCTCATAAACCTAGTATGAATGAGGAAACCATATCTTCAGCATAGTATGAACCTCCTTGTTCAACGCCTCATTTTGATAACCAAAGTCCAGGCCTTCTTCAGGGAACTTGTTCAGGTCAAAAAGTTGCTTATTGTTGGTTTTTCTTATTTCCTCTCTATCATCGTTCTCCTTGTTAAACCTCTTTTCTTCACCCATAAACATGTCTGTCACAGAAACTTCATCAGGAAAATTATTCAAGTCAAAGAGATTATTCAACTTGCCACCACTATATGCTACATGATGACCTATGATTGGTTTTCTTGCACTTGTGACCTCCTCCTCCTCACTAGAAAGCATGGTAGGAATCAATCTCATATCCTTCTTCGATGAATCTTTCTCCAATGAATCTTCCACAACAAGATGCGAGAATGTGACCTCCTTCTCCAATGAGTCCTCCACAATGAGGAGTGATAAATCCAACTGTTCATCTTTCTCCAAGGAATTCTCCAAAGCAACTTCTTTTGAATCTCTGGAAATATCCATTGATATTCTCTTTAACTTGTAAGCAGAAATATGAAAAAGTTACAATGACAGCCAGTGAAGTAAGTCAGATGAAGAGTTTGTTCTCGTAAATAGTCTATAGCCGTCCCTGTGTTAGTTAACATAATGCTGCAGTAAATGCTCCTTGTGACAGTAAATTATTCTTGCATGGAACGTTTATTTTTACTGCCATAATTTTATGTAATGTTGCAATAAAAAACGTGTTTATGAGGGGGTAAATTAGGAAATTTATAATAAATGCATATTGAAAAGTGTGTTTTTGCTTATATAAAAAAACAAACCAACTCATGACAGTTTCTCCTATATTTAGAAACGGAGGGAGTACTAATTATCAACTAACAGTAAAAAATAATAGGGTGAGTGAATTTTTAAAGTTAAGAGATAGAATTAACTTATAATTAAATTTAAGGTCTTGAGTGAATTTTTGGATAAAGTCAAGGGATTAAAAATGACTCTTAATCTTATTGTTTTATATCATTTTATCCTATCATTAACAAAAATAACTTTTTCCATTAAACCTTTATTTAGATTTCAACATAATATTATATTTTATTGCAATCTAAAGTTTTTTTTTTTGGTTTTCTGGTCACATGCAAGAAATATAGCTTCTAATTCTTGAACTGTCTTTTAACTGTTGATTTAGTTTTTGAAGTTTAACTCAAAACAATTAAATGATCTTATAGTTTATTGAGTTGATAAATTATAAAAATCAAATTATGCTGAGTTAATGAATTATGATTATTTTGATAGAAAAATGAATTATAATGATTGAGTTATTTTGAGTCAATAAATTATAAGTACTAAGTTATTCTGTGTCCAGAAACTATAGAAACTAAATTATTCTAAATCAAGTTTAGAAACTCATTGATATTTGAGAAAAATATTAAGGGCAAAAAGTTATATTTTCCCAATTTTTTAAAAAAATAGGTATTTTAGTTTGATTCAGAACAAATTTAGGAAGTTTGAAGCTAACTTTTCAAAGAATTTTGGAGAATGAATATGTGAAGCTACAGATTAAACTTATGCATGGTGTAATTTTGTCTGACTCTGTTCTATTACATGCACGGCTTCTTGATAATTTTCACAAAGGCACCTCAACAAAATGACCCTCAATTAAAAACTTGAAGTCATAAGAAACTGTTGGATCTAGCCGAAGTATCTAGGGATCCCTACTAAGAGATTATATATTTACATTTAATGTCTAGCTGTATTTTAAACATCTTCAATAAAAAAGATAATTATGAATAATCCAAAAGGTAAAAAAAAAAAAACTTATTACGGGAAACCTATTTTATCTTGGAGTGAGAGGGAGAGAGGGAGAGATTTGTTCAAGGGGCAATCTTATTTTTTGAATAATTAAAAACTTTCTTATAAACTAATTGAACACGAGATATATAAGGAAAAAATAATTTTAGTACACATTCCCAGCAAAGACTCTTCAGGTTATTAAACTGTGTGTTTGGATTTCAATAAAAAAAATTAATTAACAGAATGTGATAACGTTTGGATAATATTTTTTTAAATTGATTTAGCAAAATTAATTTATTAAATAGAAGGAAAATTAGCTTTTGCAAAAATAGAGTTTTAAGAATTAATTTGAAAAAATTGAGGTATTTGGTTAGTTTTTTGTAAAATAAAGTTTCAGTTTGAAAAAAATTAGGAGGTGTTTGGATAAGTGTTTCTAAAATCATGATCCTAGATCCCATAATTGATTATAAAATAGTACCCAAATAGGATCTCGTAATATCTTATCGTCTGTGATATGCACGAATAAATAAATATATCTAGCACGTCTTTTTAAAAGAATCTCAATTGCAAACAATCTCAAATATCCATGGGGCAACATATAGTATTAATATGGACATTGGAAAGAAGAGATTCGACAATTGTCTCGTGGTCACCCCAGAACATGCAAAGGAGATGGCGCAAAAATAAAAGAAAGAGAAATTGATTTTTAAAAATTTACACTTTAAAAGCTCAAATAAAATAATATGTTCATATGACCAACATGTGTTAGTAAGAAGGACTATGATTACTTAAGTATAAGATTTTAAATTTGTGCTTTTATGGATACATAAAATATTTTTTAGGAGAACTAGCCTCAATTAATTGGGCAGGCAATGCTTAAATATATGAAAAAATACTTTCCATTATCTTGGACTTGCATTAATTTAAGAAGGGAAGAAGACAAGGGCTTGTTAGGAGAGAAGCTAAACTCAAGATTTCATCCCTTTATTTTAACAAGAGGCTGTATATGATATGATTAACCCTAGAGATGATGGAAGCTATAAGGGCCAAGATAGGTACTTCACCAACCAGTGTGATCTTATTCCAACCTAACCTTAATGCTTTCAAGTCATCAGTTCACAATGGAGCACAACAGTGGGGACTCTCTTGGATTATCTGATCTTCCGGTCTTCCCAGTCATATCAAATAATTATAATTTCGTCTTACTTCCCAAACTGAAGTGAAACATGCCCTGTTATTCACCCAACACTAAACTAAACTATAGTACATACACCATTTAATTGTTGATTGATTGATATGAACCTTCAGCCACGGTAAAACTCAATATTTCTTCTAATTCACTTCTTACCACTTTATCAAAGTCAAAAAAAGATAGCTAGGCGTGTGTTTAGATAGCATTTTTAATCTATTATTTTAGGAAAAAATTGATTTTTATTAAAATTATCCAAACACCCCGTTTAACCAAAAAATCAAAAAATTGATTTTTTTTTTTAAAGCTGCTAGAGCTAGCTTCTGCGTTCAATTATTCATGGAATAGGAGAAAATTACGAGAAAAGCTCAAAAAAAAATTATGAAAAGGCACAGAATTTAACAAAATTAAAATTAAACTCTCTTCTCCTCTATTTTTTTCTTAATAAATTTCAAAATTTAAATCCTTAAAAAAGTTATTAGTATAAGTTTCTATCAACTATTACCCTTTACTTAGCACTTGCTATAAAAATAATTTAAATAAAATATTAATTGATAGAGAAAAATTAATTTAATTTAATATAAAATTAAGAGTCATTAAAAAAACTGTTGCAAAGGTCCAGAGAGAAAGACTTTGTGTCATTTATTACATTGCTATATTTTGTTTGTTGTCAAAATTTTTAAGCAGTGCTTAACATTTTTGTCAAATATATTTTATATTCATGATATCATTAGAGATTAATTTGTACATTATCATCTTTAGTAGTTATTATAAAATTGATGTTGGATATTTAAAATTAAATATTTCTCTTTTTAAATTTATTTGAACTAAAATATATTGAGTTATTTATTTATGTAAATTAAAAGGTTAATATTAATATAATTTAATTTTTTTAATTAATCAGATATATAATTTAAATAATATATTTTACTTTTAAATATTAGATACAAATTTATCAATAATTTAATTTTGAAAGGTAACATCCTTCATGATAATTTACACAACTAAAATTAATTTTAAATAAATTATTTAAACATCTTTAAATTTATTAAAATCTAGTATCTAAAAAGATTGTGTTACAATAAATTAATTATAATTAAAATTATTATTTAATCAATTATTTTTATAATTTATTATACCTAATTAAAATTCAATCAAGTATTAGATTGTTGATGTTATTCCGGACAGAAAAAAACAATTCCAACTTACTCTTAATAAATATGTCATCTTCAAAAGCAGTTTTTTTAACGCAACTTTTTATTATCTACTCATAAAAAATTGTGAAAAAGTAAAATTGAAAGAAATTTATAATGATCCATTTTTTATAAAAAGTGACTTGTAAAAAAAATCATAAAATTTTTTTAACAAAATCACTTATATGTAGAATTGAAGGAATATTCCTATGGTAATTATGTTTGGAATGTTAGAAAATATCTTCGAAAAAAAAAAGGAAATAGGTAAGACTAAATGCACGTATTTTAAAGAAAGTTAATGGTTATTTTTGACTCTTAATTTTATCTAAAAACATGTGAGTATCTTAATTAAATTAATTTTATTGTTTATATTAAAAATTGGCTACATAGGTGCCCCTGTTTAAAATTGTCCTCTTTTCGTTATGTGGTACCGCATTTGATTTTTTTTAATATTTTTTATTATAATGTATTATTAGTGGTGTCCCTCTCCTTTCTTTGACCCCCTTCTCACCGTCTCCCTCTCCTCCCTCTCTCCCTTCATTTTATTCGCCATCAAACCTCCCTCCAGATTGGTTCGCCGCATCTAAAACTCGCCGAGATGAAGATTATCTTCGAGAGGCTCAAAAGGGAGCCAGTCCATGATCATGTGCTCGATCACTGATAAGTGCATTATTTATAATTAAATAAATATATATTTTGATTTAAATTTAATTATATTTAGCAAGAATTTATATTTATTTAATTAATATTGATATATTTTTTATCACTCAATTATGAGATAAAAAAAATTTTGATACAGAATTTATTTATATCTTTTCATTCTTATATTTTGCAGATAAAAAAATAAATCAAATGAGAGAAAGAAAAGAAAGAGAAATATCACACATATATAAAAGAGGAAGGAAGTGATTGGATCTCAAATATACACACATGATGGAGAAATCCTGGCGCGAGCGCACACGTTGATGAAGAAATCTTGGGAGAGGCGGACTTGACATTCAAAGAGAGAGAAAGAGGCGTGAATGGCGTGCCCCCAACACATGTTAAGGTCCCAGATTAATTAGGAATGAGTGGAGAAGCTTCACTTTCACTGTAATACTTCCTCTATCGAGAGAAAAATCATTCAATCACTTGTAAATTAAATTACAAGATCTTATGAATCTGATGTACGAGAGTGAGGTGGAAATGAAGAGGGGAGAGATGATTGTTGAGAGGATGAAGAAGCTGAACTGGTTTGAGGAGATAGAGACCAGCTAAAGCAGTAGTGAAGATGGAGGCTCTTGAGACGCAGAGGGAACGTGGAAGGAGGGACAGAGAAATAACTCAATAAGCAGGGGAGCGAGAGAAAAGAGTGACGTGGACTGAGAGAGATGAGTAAAAAAATATAAAAAAATACCAGCGGGTAGGACCCACTAATGTTATAGGGGGGAGTTTAACCTCAGGGAACATAATTTATCTCCAGTTAAATTTAAGGTATTTGATGGTCGTTCTTAATAAATTAAGGGATAAAAATATTCTTAATTTTAAAAATATTTGTTTCTTGCAAAAAAAAATTATTCTCTTTATTTTTACCCTCATTAATTGGAGCGGTGTTATTTAGGTAGTAATTTGTCTACTTTTAGGTAGATGTGGATAATTATGAGGGCTATTTTGAGAAACAACACATTAAATTAAATATTCATAAAAAAGTGAGACATTGCTTGCATCCAGTTTTTATCACAAGGCACCTGTAATTACCTCACTGGAACAAGGAGATGCGTTTAAGTTATTAACTTTGTTTGGAGGTAGGATAAATTTCTAATTTCACCTTTATTTAAATGAAAATTTTTTGAGTTTGTATTACATTATCTCTCCTAATTAATGAGTTTAAATAAAAATAATGTTAAAAAATATAATTAATATCTTATATATACCTTATATTAAAAATTAAAGAATCTATTTAGAAGACGTCTTATAATAGGGAGTGAAGACTGTGTTACAAAAGGGATGGAGATTTTATTTTAAACTAGTACTCATTAAATTTATATGATGCTCTCGTGCACAACAAAGACCCTTCTTCCTCTGGTTTATTGATGCTTTAAATCTCCTCCTTAGGAAGGAGAGAGATCCCACCCCTTGCCGATGGAAATTGACGCAACTAGAGAGCTTCTCCTTAGTCATCACTTGGTAGAGATTCATCATGCCTCTAGGAAGAGCATTAGAATGTGCTAATTTAATGGCTGAAGCATCTCACTGTTCTGAACATGATTTTACCTTGTTACCTTCTGTACCTGCAGATTGCTTTACTCTCTATGTTGAGGAACTAAGTGTGCGTTTGGTTTTCAGTTTGTCAAAAGTCAGTTTGATAAAGTTCATTTGGCAAAAGTCAGTTTCGTGAAAGTCAGTTATGTAACGAAATTTGTGTTTGGATATATTTTTTCAAAAGTCAGTTTGACAAACTGAAAGTTGTTGGATTAATAAAATTTATGCTTTTCAAATGTACTTTTTAATATGTAATGACCAAAAAGGACATTGATTTATGATAATTTATAATTTTTATTATACAAATGTAATATATTAAAAAAAGGTGAATTAAATTTAAAATGACATAAAATTTAAAATGTTAAATATTAAGAATTAAAAAAAATTTAATTTTGGAAAAAAAATTATGTAATAAATAGTTAAACATTCATTAATATTGAATAGTTACATGATTAATGGTTCGATTTATAATATACAATCTGATCTCTAATAGAATCTCGAACCCTATTCATTTCTCTATCAGAAGCTATGCTTGAAATTGCACTTGGAATTGTTGATGAAAATGCAGGCTCATCAGTATCATCGATAGTGTTAACCATATTTTCATCCTCAAAATGCCTGAAATCAGAATCAGTTACAGATTTCTTCTAATAAAATTATGTATAGCCATTGTTGCACCAACAATACGAACTTGCTGCACAAATGGATAGCTAGGCATATGTCGTAAGATTGTGAATCTATTTTTCCAAACCCCGAAAGTCCTTTCAATCGTGGTCCTTAAGCTTGAATGATAATAATTAAAAATCTCATTATTATTTGCAAATCCAGATGAACGCCTGAAATCTGGGAGGTGGTACCTATGAGATCTATAAGGACCTAAATATCCACGTGGAGTTGGATAGCCAGCATCTAACAAATAATATTTACCTACCAATAAAAAAATAGAAATTATAAGATCCCAAAAAATATTAAAATAATTGTTTAAATTAGATAAATATAAAATATACCTTGGGGTGGATGTGGAAATTTCATGTCTGGCCTTGTGAGAGCATAGTCAAACAAACGAGCATCATGAGCAGTCCCTTCCCATCCAGCCATGACATAAGTGAAGCACATATCCCAATCACATGCAGCTATTATATTTTGTGTTGGAATACCTTTCCTTCCAATATATTTCCCTTGCTCTTCAACACTAACCACACACGGGATATGTGTGCCATCAATTGCTCCTATGGCATCTTTAAAGAATGGCCAATATCGCGGATCACCTAAAATTTTTGGATGAATATCTTGAAAAGTGCGATCTTTTGGTTGGATATATTCCTTTGCTAGCTTCTCACAAGCATGTAATACATTTCTAAAATGCCTGTGAACAGTCTCTGCTGAATGTTGAAATTGTTCTTGTGCCATCCTATTCCCCACTCCATGTCCAACAATATTTAGGAACATACCGACCATTTCATGAATCCCTGTTCTTCTGGTTGGACGTAGGCCATGTTGCACTAGTTCGTCACAAAGTTGAAGAAAAATATCTTTTTCCATACGAAACATATCATAACAACGTTGAGGATGCCCTTGCAAAATTTCTTGCACCCATGCATGACCTGATTGCGAACCGGTTCTACAGGCTCTTTCAATAAAGTTGTTGAGTAATTGGATATTATTGCAGTAATAGCCTCAATCTCATCGTCTTCCGCATGTACAAGTAATTGTAATAAGCGAGATTGCGTATTGTCATCCATAAAAACTGCATAGCATAATTAAACAACCATTACACTATTTGTCCATGACTTAACGTAAGAAACACATAACACAAGAGTCAAATAACACAATCAGTTTCAAAACAAATTAACAACATGAACAACACTAGCTAAAATTTTAAAACATTAGAAGGCAAGCTAAGATGATCTAATTTCATTTTTTGCCCAAGCACCTCAAATAGGCCACTAATGCTCTTCTGTTGTCCCTAAGCCCAATATACATGTCCCTTGCGGTCTTATCTAGCAAGGCCACAGCACACTGTCCAAGAAGCACCTCATCATAAGCAATCTCCTCGATTCCATAAAGTTCCTTTGCAACCTCCAACACATTTTGGTCAACTGGTTTTGTTCCACCCTCTATGGAATTAAGAATTGACTTCAATGTTGAAAACCTATCCTCTTGTGTGGACACCAATCGACTCACTGAATCAACCATCACCGTTGCAAGACGTTTTCCTTTTTTGTTTTGACCACTTTCACCTCTCTTTCGCTTGCTCCCTGAATTAGTACCACCACTATATGCATTATTCAAGTTAACCTGCCCAATTCCTGGGAGAGCTCCTCCATTAATGTTTCTTATATCATCACTGTCTCCTGATCCTTCGGTCAAATCCAATTGAGGCCTGTACACATCTTGTGGATCATCAGCCGCAGGGTCCACATGTAAGTGCCCTGTAAGTGTGTGCTGCAACTGGCTGGAACAACTGTGTCAATTTTTGTGCATATGGAAGTGGTCTATGCCTGAATTTCCTATACTCAGGATTCTCCTGCACATTTACAAGAACTGAGTCTAGTATATCTATAAAATAAAATATGAAATGTTTAGCATGCCATGTATAATTGTATACCTTAATCTTTTGACTCCACCACTCCTCTGGTGCTGAAACAGTATTCTTTTCACTATCCCATCCTAAACCGGTCTCTTTGTTTAATAGCTTGTCCCATATATTCCAATCTTTCCTCAAATTGTCCCATTTATTCTTCAACTGCTTCTTATCATAACTTATTGAACTCAAAGCATTGAACTGTTGCATTAGCGCCTCCCAACCCTCCTTTGATAAGGTAGAGCCTTTACGCTCATTTTTCTTAACTTGCTGGAGAGCTAATTTAATAAACAATTCGGTTTCTTCGGTAGTCCATAGTGCCTTCTCTTTACTCATTTTTACTATCAAAATATCACATTTCAATACAAATGAAATTTGAGGAGTAAAAATTCATAATTGAGTTAGAGTTAAAATATTAAAAATTTTACTATCCTTTTTTATCCTTCTTAAAAATTTTACTATCCTTTTTTTGGAAACAAAAAGAGAAAAAGATTATTCGATCATAGTTAATTAACCACTTGTTATCTTAGCCACATATACTTGTCGAAAGAGGCAGTTATTCAAAAGCAGCCATAAGATAATTTCTGTACTCACTCAAAAATTCAAATCATATAATTCAATAGTATGTATTAAAATAAGCAAGTTTGACCAGAAATTTGTAACCTTTCTTATCCCTTCATCCATTTTCAAAAAATAAATTAGCTCAAATTCTTATCAAAATGAAATTAAAAAAAACACAAAGCAACATAGAACAATCAATAGATCAGTCACCAGAATATATTTCCAAAACACCGTGTCATATTTTAGAACATCAGCAAATCAATAGAATAATTACAAAATACAGTCATAAATAATGTTCTTGCTTGCTTATTTTTTCTTGTTATGTGAAGCTATCAAAAGAAGGCAATTAAAAAAAATCACACCAGTCTGAAAAATAAAAAAAACATACCAGAATGCTTCATGGTGGTCTGAAAAACGAAAGAAACAAACTGGAACAGAATAATTACAATATGCAGTCATGATTAATCTTCTTGCTTGCTTATATTTTCTTGTTATGTGATCAAAACAAGGCAATTAAAAAAAATTCACACCAGTCTGAAAAAGAAAAGAAACAGACCGGAATGCTTTCACGGTGGTCTGAAAAATGAAAGAAACAGACCAGAATGCTTTCACGGTGGTCTGAAAAATGAAAGAAACAGACCGAAATGCTTCACGGTGGTCTGAAAAATGAAAGAAACAGACCAAAACAGTGGCTTCATGGTGGTCCAAAAAAGAAAAGAAACAGATCAGAACAGAGCTTCACGGTGGTCCGAACAAGAAAAGCAACAGATCACATCGAAGAGCAGAACGAAGCAGCACCATTTCCAGATCTGACAAAAAAAGCTTGGAGGCTATCATACCTTGCAGATTGAAGAGCAGATCGGAGAAGAGGATTGGAGTTCCACGAGCTGGTCGGAATGTTCACCTTTGCACTCCACAGGTTGCAAAAGCTGCTAGTCGGAGTTCTCTCAGCTCCGAAATGCCGCCCAAGTCCCAAAATGAGCTTGATCCGTGAAAGAGATGGGGAGAACTTAACGGTGAAATGCAGCCACCGTTGATGAAGGAAGGAGAAGCTTAGGGAAGGAAGAGATCCGGATCTGTGATGGTGGAGGAGAGGCGAAGGAGAGAAGGAGAAGAGATGGCCAAACGGTGGACTAGCGGCGGACGAGTGGCGGACTAACGGCGGACACAGAGCAGCAGCAAAGGACGAAGAACACTGATGTATCAGCTGCACAAATGAGGACCACGAGAGGAGAGTATGCGTGATATGTATCAGCTGCAAAAGTGAGGGGCATCATGGTCAATAAACAAATTAGGTACCAGCAATAAATGGATGCCAACTGATCACGTTTTGAAAGCAAGTGGGAGTAGCTTTGCAAATTTTTTCATTTCAAACATATTTAAAAGTCAGTTTAAAAAGTGCATTTTGTCTGGAAAAAAAAAGCCAAACAACATTTTACATTCAAAAAGTTAAAACTTACTTTTGAAATGTAAACGTAATGAAATCCAAACGCACGCTAAATAGTGTTATTTTGGTCCCGTTTGTTTAGTTAAAAAAAAAAGAAATGAAATAGATTAATAAAAAATAAAAATAAAATGATGAAAAGATTAAAATAAACACATTTTCAAGAATGAGAGATAATTTAGTTTAAGGCCCCAATCAAAATTGGCCCAAGACTCACACCATTCACAGTCCCTCTTCCTTCTCATTTTATTTGGGCCACGGCTTCATTCCCTCCTTTTCTTCTGGGTCACGCAGTACATTTCAGTTTCAGCCATCGCATTCCGCCTTCCGCGGCGGCGCTCCTTCCCACTTTCCGGCCTCTATCCTCTACTCCGACGTCTTCTTCAAAACAAACAAGCAGCAACCTTACCTCGTACTTAAGGCCAACACGTGCGCCGCAATCCGGATTTTCCGGCAGGTTGGTTCGTTCTTTTTTCTCCTTTCTCACTCCTTGCCAAAACTTAATTCCTTGGCATTGTTTGCTTGATGGAATGCTTTTGCATTACTACGTTGATTCTTGGAAATTAGATACAAAATATGGGGGTCTGCACCCAATAGTTCTAACATTTTCTGGTACTCGATACCCAGCAACGGCAAAATATTTCACTTTGACGGATTGCTGTTAAGATTTAAGGTCCTGTTATGGTCTTGTGGAATAGTGAAGATCAAATGAAAGTTGCTGTCTGTTTCTTTGATAAATAGACATTGCAGATAACGGCTCTCGAATATTTATAGGCTAATCGGATACCTTTGTATGGACTTGTAAATGGAGAGACATTCAACATATGCTCTGTATCTTTTAAAAAAAAATTAACTATATATAAATTTGTAAATATGAACCATCCTCCGGCGAAGTTTAAATAAGGGTTGAAATTTAATTTTATCATTTATATAAAATATATATATTTTTAAATGCTTTTTTAATGAAAACAAAAAATTATTACTAATGAACAAAGACTACAAAAGGAAAACGAGAAAGGAAATCATCAATGTCATGTTGCGAAAGTTGCAACCGCCATGGTACTGGTAAGTGTCTGTTAACAAACTGCTGAAAGGAGGACTTAAAGTAGATGAAGTCCTAAAGGCAAAGAAAATGTAGAGTTAATAAAGGTTTGAGAACACAAGAAATATAACGCCTGCTGCAAAGCCAAAAGTTGATCCATAAAGCTGTAGAAGAACCCTCTCGTCGTATGTTGCCAAATTCCACCAACCTAAAATTAGGATATCGCATCAACGTACGTGGTGGAACTATTGACTCCTTGAAAGAAGATCCTGGTAATGGACACTGGGAGTGCTTAACAGACACCTGACTCTGAGAATTGAACATACAAGACATTGCACGTGAATTCGCTGTTGATATTGCTTCTGCCAGCATAAATTCTTTTCCTGCAAAACAAATTTTGTTTCGGAAAAACCAGATTGTATCAAACATAAAATGTGAGAAGATCAGATATACCAACATCAGTTAGAGCTGATTGAACAGTCAAGTATTGATTGACCCAACTATCAACCATTCATAAGTAGTCCATTCAGGATGATCATCAACGTGTAAGTTCAATAAACTGCCAAACCAACAAGCCCTAGCAAATGGACAATGCAAGAAGATGCGGGAAAGAGTCTCTGAATCAAAATAACAAAAAGGACAGACTAAAACAAAATTGAGATTGAAGCGTTTTAAAAGTGTTCAAGTGGGTCATTGTTCCCCAGCAATTTTCCAAATGAAAACTTCAATTCTAGGAGGCAGTTTGCAATCCCAAATACGTAACCATGGAAAATTGCCGAGAATGTGAGGAGGATTCGGTAAATTAAGACATAAAGAATAACCATTCTTTGCAGAATAATAACCAAGTGAGTCCACATTCCAAACCAACACAGCATTCTGATCATGCAAAGGAACGGGGGAAGAGAGAATATTAGTAGCCATAGTTGGTAGGTAAAGAGATTTAACTAGATGAACATTCCATCGAGCAGAATGGTGTGGTATAAGGTTCGAAACCTTCCAGGATGAAGGAACATAACCTGACTGTAACAACGACCTCCAATGCTGACTATATAAAGAAATAGAATTCTCATTTCTCACATTCCAATGCAAATTATCTAATCTTAATGGGATATATTTCAGTGCAAATAGAATTTCTTAGATAATTTGCATTGGAACGTGGGAAATGGGATATTTTTTTAGATGTTACAAGTGATATTCTTAATGTGCAAGAAGTAATCTTTCAAATTTATAACAATTGGTGCTTATTTTTCCTCTTTTTATTTTTAAATTTAATTTAATTTGATTTTATTTAATTTAATATAAAATTGATAAAACATATAAAATTTTATATTTTTAATTATTATATTGTGTATTTATAAAAGATGATTTTTTTTTTTCAACTGAACTTTGTATTTTATTAGTAGTATACATGATTAAAAAAATTGTAAAATTATAGTTATTTTATCTTTCATAATTTTAATATATTTTAATTATTATCTTCACTATTCATGTATCTTGGTGTTAAATATAAGGTAAAACTATGTGTTAATATATGGATTTTATTAATTTTATTTTTTTAGTCAGTTTCATTTATCTCCTCTAATTCTATTCAACATGTTACAAGGTTAAAATTCTTTTTAATTATTTAAAAAATTAAAAAAATGAATATGAGAACATTAGAAAGAATGATAACAAAAAAAATTAAAAAATTATATTTATTATACCCAAAAGTTTAATACTTTTTAATATAAAAGAAGTAGATATTTAGAAAAATTTTTAAATAGATTAGGTACATTATATTATTTGCGATCTTTTTAATTAAAAAATTTTAAGTCATCCAAATAAAATTTTATGTGTTATTATTTTAATTAATTTTATTTTTATAATGAAATGTATAATTAATTTATTATTTTTTTTCTCTCTTATCAAAATTAATTTATATAATAAAAGATATCTAAATGTCTTACTTTTATTAAATTAAATAAATTATAAATGACGTGACACACTTGTTTTATTTAAAAATTTTTCTTATGTTTTTAGTAAAAAAGACTTGGGTATAAATTTATAAAATAAATTTTATTATTTAGAGTAATTAATATACTATTTTAATAATTAATTTTGGGCCGATGCCAAATTCTTCCTAAAGTTAATTATAACCCCGATAGAACCCTTGCTCGGGAGCAGCTGATCCAGTCCTGTTAGTCGACGAACAAGCATCCCATACTCCGTCGGACGCCGTCCACCGTTGCAGCCCTGCCTGGTTGTTCTCGGGCAAGCAGTGAAGAAGGTTCGCAGCCTAGGGCTTTTTCT